GGCCCGCCCAGGCGACAGCATCCGAGAGCACACGCCTTGGTCCTGGGCGGTGTAGAAGGGAAGCCGAGTTTGGGGCGGGGTGGGGACTGGGGACCATCTCGGGAAGTCCCGGGGTACCGGGCCGCCGCTGATGTGCGTGACTGCTTTGCAGCGAGCTACACCGTGCCCTTGGGGTGGGATGTGCCGCGGAGGCCGGGCCTGCTGCCACTTCCTTTCTGGGCCTCAGTTGTCTCCGAGTGCAGTGGGCCCGTAATGCCTCCTTCACTAGGCTGTTGTGAGCATTAGGGGAGTTCTGCAGAAAGTTCACGGAAAATGCGTATTTTGGAAAACTGTGAATTTAAAAGAATTTTTTTGCACCAAAATTAACCCGTACCTGAATTCCATTTTCCATGAACTTTTCAAAGTTTCCTGAGTGTGTGCGACCTAATGGGGTGAACAGAGCAGTGGTCCCACCTTCCGGAGAGCTCCTTGCTTGCCGGGTGCTGTCAGAAGCCTTGGGATCTGGTGCCAATGGCAGCTTCAAGCAGTCCAAGACCACACCACCACTGCACAGGGGCCAGCCTGCCCACTGACTCGGAGCCCCTGCCCACAGAGGAAGTGAAGTTAGAAAACACAGGATGAGAAGCACCTGGAGGCAGAGCATGCCTGGGGGTGGAGCTCCAGCTTTTTACTGTTAATAGTTACGGCACTGGGCAGGGTATTTACTCTCTGCACTGCTGCAGGGGTTAATGCCACCTTGTAGCGGGGAGGACTCAGTGCACTGATGCGCCTACCGGATGATACCAGTGGCTAGTGGACATTATAAACCCTTCCTAAGTTAGAGAGCCATAATGTGGGGTGACCTGGCTTCGTGGCCTACCGTAGCTTGGTGTCTCGGAAGTTCTGTGGGCCTGGGTATCATCCAGGCCAGTGAGCAACTAAAGAGTTTAAAGCAGGGGACCAGCAGTTAGTGTAATGGCTATGTTGCTGGACTCCCATGTAGTCGACTGCGGTTTTGAGTCCTGGACCTGGTGGCTTAAACTCATGCCGGGCACTTGTGTGTGTGTGCCCAAAATCCCGAGAGGAGAATGGAGACGGGACTGCGGTATGGCCATCTCCTCTGGGGGGTGATTTCTCGCTTTCTGTCTCTCTGTCTCTCTCTGTCTGGCGAGCACAGGCGCCCTACAGCAAAAACCTCTCCAAAGAAAAAAAGAGTTTAACTGCTGGGCAGTTAGTGTTCTAGAAAGACCCTTCAGAAGGCTTTGTGGAGAATAGTCGGGAGTACGTGGAGACATCTTAGAGACAGCTGTCCTGGGCCAGGGGACAACTAATCAGGCTCTTACTAAGGCAGTATAGTGGGACTAGGGACTAGAAGGGCATTGGGTCAGAGCTTTTCAAATGTGAGTCATAAGAATCATCTGAGGTGCTTGTTAAATATGCAGGTTTCAGGGCCAGCAGGTGGTTGGGGCACTGGCCACTGGGCACCCAGATGACCAGCTGTGGTTTGGGTGCTAGACCTGGCAGCTTACTGTCTCACTTTTCCTGTCTGTCTCTCTGTGGTCAAATTTTAAAATTATAATAACAAATAGGGGCCATCGGGTGGCATGGTGGTTAAAGACACTGGATTCCCACATGGCCGACCATGGTTTAAGTCCAGGACCTGGCAGCTTGCTTTCTCCCTTTCCCTCTCTCTCTCTCTGGTCAAATTAAAAAAGAATAGTAAGAAATAGGGAACAGCAGTTGGCGTAATGGCTATGTCACTGGACTCCCATGTAGTTGACTGCAGTTCAAGTCCTAGACCTGGTGGCTTAAACTCACGCCGGGCGCATGTGCGTGTGTGCCCAAGATCCCGAGAGGAGAATGGAGGAGAAGGGATTGCGGCGTGGCCATCCCCCCTGGGGGGTGACTTCTCACGTTCTGTCTCTGTCTTTCTGGTGAGCACATATGCCCTATGGCAAAAACCTCTCAAGAAAATAATAAAATGTAATTAAATAACAAATTAAATAAATCATTCTTTTTAAAATAAACAAGTAAATATGTAGATTCCAGGCCTACCCCACACCCACTGAAAAAGTCATCAAGGGAAAGGTCTGGGAATTACTTGACACAGAACTGAGACTAGCAGAATTTCCCAAACCTCTCGGCACATCAGCACCACCATCCAGTGAGCTCTTTCTTGTGCAAAAAGTTTACGGAAAACATGTATTTTGGACAATGTGTTCCATCCATCCCTCTCCCCTTGTGACCAGAACAAACGGCAGTCAGTACTAGAGAGTAACCAGAGGCTGCCAAAGGACCCTGCTATGAGTAACAGATTCTTGTCCTCAGGAATCTCCAAGCCTCAGAAAGGGGCAGCTACTAGGTGTGGAGGGAGATGGGACTAAGTGTCACCTTTGGACAGGTCTGGTCTAGTTGGAAGAGCTTGCTGTGCCTGAGTGATAGCCAGTGTAACATTTTGTGCAGTTAGAGAAACGGAGGCTTCACTTCAGCTTGCTTGAGGTTATGCCGTTATTAAGTGGCAGAGGCAAGACTAGAAATTTAATTTTTTTTCTCTATTCATAATACAATGCATGCAGGTGAGAGAGAGGAGCGTTCTCCACAGGGTCCGGTCATGCTGTGATCGTCTTTCTCCAGTCTTCCAGCCCATCAGATCATGAGCACTCGTGCATGTGCCACCAGGCCTGGGACTTGAACTGTGGTTGCCATGTAGGATCCAGCTTTTCTGAGCAGTACATTACCACTTATAGCACAGAGCTGCAGCTGGCCCAGAAATTTTTTTTTTTTTAAGTTTCTTTTGGGGCTATGTGGCATGACGGTTAAGGAACCTGGATCACACAACTGGCTGCACAATTCAAGTCCTGGATCCAGCAGTTTGAAAAACATACCGAGTACGTGTGTGTGCGTGCCCAAAATCCCAAGAGGAGACTGGAGAAGGGATTGTATTGTGACCATCCTCCGCCACACAGAGGGTACTTTTTCACTCTCTCACTTTCTCTCTGGAGAGCACACGTTCCCTATAGCAAACTAAAGTAAAAAAGTGTATTTCTAATAGCACATACCCATGGGGTAGGAAGGCAGGAGGAGGAAGGGAGAGAAGCATCCTCTGCAGTCAGCACAGTTTACCACAGTCACCTACACAGACTGCTCCAGTGCCCTAGAATCTTGGGCATGTGCACACGTGTCTGGCGTGTTTTCAAATTGACCGGGAAATTCAAACCTGTGGTCAGCCATGTGGCTTCCAGCACTGCAGTTCAGTTTGATACAAAGTGTGCCATAAGGCTGGGCCAGGTTTGTTTTTGTTTTGTTTTGTTTTTTAAGAGATTTTTGCAGGGGGCCAGCAGGTGGCATGGTGATTATGGCTGACCATGGTTTGAGTCCTGGACCTGGTGGCTTGCTTTCTCACTTTTCCTCTCTGTGTGTCACTCTCTGGTCAAATTAAAATAAATTAATTTTTAAAAAAATGATTCTTGCTCTAGGGTGCATACACTTGGCGGAGACATAGAGACAAAGTGAGAAATCACCCCCCCGCCATGGTGGATGGCCACACCACAATCCCTTCTCCATTTTCCTCTCAGGATTTTGGGCACACACACATGCACAAACACCTGGTATGAGTGTCAAGTCATCAGGTCCGGGACTTGAACCACAGTCAGCCATGTGGGAGTCCAGTTCTTTAGCCACCATACCACCTGCTGGTCCCTGGGCCAGGATGTGTGTGTGTAGAGATTTTTGGTATAGGGTGCATGTGCTTGCCAGAGACAGAAAGCAAGAACTCACCAGTCTCTTTTCCTCCATTCTCCTCTTGAGATCTTAGGCATACATGCACATGTGCCCCATGTGAGTTTAGGCCGCTGAGTTCAGGACTTCAACCGCGGTCAGCTACATGGGAGTCCAGTGACATAGCCATTACACCAACTGCTGGTCCTGTCCAGCATGGGTTTTAAGTCACCCAGTCCAGGACTCAAAACCACAGTAGACTACGTGGGAGTCCAGTGATGTAACCATTATGCCATCTGCTGGTCCCTGGGCAAGTTTTTAACGGTTACCTTTTAAATAGCACTCAACTATGAATCGGGACAAATCTTAATTGCCTGAAAAGCTGCACATTGGTCTGAAGAAATGGGGCAATGGAGAAGAAATTGAAGACAGGGCCTCCTTTGGTCCCTAGGAGAGCAGGAGAACCGATGGGAAGGCTAAGGTGGTGAGGCCATAGGCCTGGTTCTGACCAATTTCTGCATCCCCATTGGATGGTTCTGTGTTTTTTGACAATTTTGCTGGGGGATAGCTGAACTGTGTGGTGACAGCCTTCTCTTAGCAAGGCCCAGATGTGTTCCTGAGAGCTCTGAAGAGTAGGGCCCAGATGTGAGCGAGTGTGCTGCAGGATAAGGCTCTCACCAGAACTGAGTGTTCCTGACAGGGCCTCCATGGTATCGAATCGTGCCTGATGCGAAGCCCAGATGCATCGCCTACTTGCAGGAGGCCCAGAAATGTCATTGAAGGGGCCTGAGTGTGAGGCCTACCTTAATAATGTGTGCGTTTCACTCTGAGGGAATGCTAGGTGTGTTAGCACTGTGTGCCTGAGGTTGAGGGTGTCTGAGAGACCTTAACCTGACACCCTGTGCACTTGTGAGCCTCAAGCGGTGAATTAGAGTATCCATCAGGGGAGGGGAACCAGTCCATCAGCATCAGACTCGAGTTTGAGACACAAGTATGTAACTGAGTGAGGCTTACCTGATAATGTCTACCTGATAATGATCCTCAGGTATGTTGCCTGTATACCTGAGTATTACTTACCTGAGTTACCAGGACATGCCTTAGAGGAAGCCCAAATGTATCAGGTTTCCTAAGATGGGTACAGGTGAAACGATGGGGGCCATGTAGCCAAGGGTGAGGCTCAGGTGTTCCCTCCAGCAGGGCAGTTGTGAACCCAGCTCCCAGTGCTCTGGAGTGAGCCCCTAGGGTGAGCATCTGGAGCTGGGCGCCTGTTGCTTTAATGGCCCCTCCTTCCTTCATTTCCACAGGGCCCGCAGCTCACCACCACGCCAGGGCCCAGAGGCCATGGCCTGCCTTCATGAAACCCGCACACCCTCCCCTTCCTTTGGGGGCTTTGTGTCTACTCTAAGTGAGGCTTCCATGCGCAAGCTAGACCCAGACACTTCTGACTGCACCCCTGAAAAGGACCTGACGCCTACCCAGTGTGTACTTCGAGATGTAGTGCCCCTCAGTGGGCAGGGCGGGGGTGGGCCCAGCCCCTCTCCAGGTGGAGAGCCGCCCCCTGAGCCTTTTGCCAACAGTGTCCTGCAGCTACATGAGCAGGATGCTGGGGGCCCAGGGGGAGCTGCTGGGTCACCTGAGAACCGGGCATCCAGAGTTCGAGCTGACGAGGTGCGGCTGCAATGCCAGAGTGGCAGTGGCTTCCTTGAAGGCCTCTTTGGCTGTCTGCGCCCTGTCTGGACCATGATTGGCAAAGCCTACTCCACCGAGCACAAGCAGCAGCAAGAAGGTAGGCCATGTCTTTTGGCGGGGGCGGGGGGGCGCCCTTTCTCTCCCTGCTTCCCTGTGGCTGAAGTCTGCAGACAGTTCTGGTCATCTGGTGATCCTTTCCCAACCCGTGGCCCAGCCCTACGCCCTGAGCTGTCCACTGGCCCAACTTCCCAGTTTCTTTTAAGGCCACACGCTCATTTCCTTCCCTGTTCCCTTCAATCTAACATCTTCCTAGCCTGTTTTGGCTACTTTTCTGCCTTGTCCTCCTGAAGTTATTCAGCTGGCCCAATGCTGTCCCGCCCCTGGCCTTGAATATGTCACAGGCCTTGAGTGTGGCTCTGAGACATGGCACTGTGCCTCCTGCCCACAGACCTTTGGGAGGTCCCCTTTGAGGAAATCCTGGACCTGCAGTGGGTGGGCTCAGGGGCCCAGGGTGCTGTCTTCCTGGGGCGTTTCCACGGGGAGGAGGTGGCTGTGAAGAAGGTACGAGACCTCAAGGAGACTGACATCAAGCACCTGCGAAAGCTGAAGCACCCCAACATCATCACCTTCAAGTGAGGTCCTGGGCAGGGGCTGGAGGTTGGGGATACTATCTTGAGGCCTAAGACCCTCCAGGGCAGTGGGACCTACCCCCTCCTCCCCAGAGAGCCCCAAATAGCATGTGTGGGAATGGGGTTCCAGGTGTGAATCAGGTGAATGCTGGGCTGGCTGAGGCCTTCATACCACTGTGTTTGGCCCCCAGGGGCGTGTGCACCCAAGCCCCTTGCTACTGCATCCTCATGGAGTTCTGCGCCCAGGGCCAGCTGTATGAGGTACTGCGGGCTGGCCGCCCTGTCACCCCCTCCTTGCTGGTTGACTGGTCCATGGGCATCGCTGGTGGCATGAACTACCTGCACCTGCACAAGATTATCCACAGAGATCTCAAGTCCCCCAAGTGAGTAAGCAAGTAAGCAGGGAGAAGTTGATATGCATGCAGGGGCCACCAAAGTCACTGTGGCCGCCTCCCTGCTTCCAGACCCTGCCCTGTCTGTGTTGCAGTCACAGAAACCCATTCTAAGTAACAGTCCCATCTTGGGAGGGCTGTGGTGAGCCCCTCACCTTTGGGAGTCCCAAATGATTTTAAACAAAGAAGGCAGAGTTGCTGCAGTTAGATGAGGGTGTGGAGGGGTGTAGACCCCAGCTGACTACACTTTCTACTAGCATGCTAATCACGTACGACGATGTGGTGAAGATCTCAGATTTTGGCACTTCCAAGGAGCTGAGTGACAAGAGCACCAAGATGTCCTTTGCAGGGACAGTAGCCTGGATGGCCCCTGAGGTGATCCGCAATGAGCCTGTGTCTGAGAAGGTCGACATCTGGTGAGGGCCAGGCTGAGGACTGAGGATGGGTGGCCAGCACAGGGCGGCAAAGGGGACTCCCAGAGCCCAAGTGCAAGTGAGATGTGCCTGTATTAACCAGGGCCTCTGGAGAGAGCCCCTCCAGAGATGTTTCCCCTTATTCCCAGGTCCTTTGGTGTGGTGCTGTGGGAACTGCTGACTGGTGAAATCCCCTACAAAGATGTGGATTCCTCGGCCATCATCTGGGGTGTGGGAAGCAACAGTCTCCATCTGCCTGTACCCTCTAGCTGTCCAGATGGCTTCAAAATCCTGCTTCGCCAGTGCTGGTAAGGATGGCCTGGGCCCGGTGACTGGGCCTGGTGAAGTTGAAAAGCAAGGGGTGTTGCCGATGGATAGCCAGCACCTAGTAGTCAGACATGAGCCCAGAATCCTTAAGA